TCTGTTAATCTGTGAGGGTCTGGTATTGTGCTTCAGTGATGAGAAAAGTGACTAAGATTAAAAAGGCATACATTTTTAGGGATTAAAAAGTCTCACACTACACTGAATCATACAAGGTAGAAAAACATCTTTTGTACTCTCCATAAAGGGCAGTATTTCAAATAAAATTTATTTTTTCAAATAAATTTTACATTTTATTGTTTTTAGAAATTTTAATGTTTATAAGCACGTGTGTGTTTGTGTGTATGTATGTGTAATTTTTAACACCAGTGAAATTGTACTTTGTGTAATTTCCGGTACCGTGCTTTTGTCACGTCTCTTGCCAGGTCTCTTTCCAGATTTCTTTCTAGTCTGCCTACTACTTACTTATGAACACGCTGTTACCCTTCCTGAAAGACAGATTGTTTTTCTTTTATTTTGCCTGTTATAGACAATAGGACAGAGAGTACCCTTGCATATGCATTTTTTTTTTTTTTGCACATTTGCCTGTTATTTCCTCAGGATCAATTCACAGAGACTCAGCAATCTAAACACACACACATTTAGACAGGGTGTTCCTCAAACACAACAGGCCTGGACCTACCTCAGGGCCTTTGTACATGCTGTCTCCTTTCCTGGGAATACTTTTCATCCTCATCCTGGCATGGCTGGTGTATTCCTTCATTCTGGGCTCAGGTCAGATGGCATCCCCAAAGAGATCCCCTGCAACACTCAGCTGCGGCCTGCCCAGGCACTGCTCACAGGCCCACAAAACTGCTTGGTGGTGACATGGCCCATCCTTGCCATGATTGGCTGTTTTCACATTTGTATACATTTATTTATGTATACCATGATGAATATAAGTCAGCAAATCAAGAGCCAAAAAAATTCATGAACTGACCTCCTGTGAACTCCTATCCCAGCCCATCTCCTGCCTTCCCTCAGGTTCCTTAATCTTCTTTAACATTTTTAAAAGACATACCAGCTTCACTGGGGTATAATTCACATCAAACACTATTCACTCATTTACACTGTATCATTCAATGGCGCTTAGGATGTTCATAGTTGTGCAACCACTACCACAAAAGATTTTATCGCATTTCCATCATTCTGAAAAGAAACCCCGTGCTGATTAGCAGTTGTGCCCCCATCTGCTTGCTCTACCACAGCTCTAAATTCTCAGCAGCAGGAAGATACCAGTCTACTTCCTGTCTCGGTACATTTGCCTGTCCTGGACACTGCATGCCAATGAAATTGTACAGTATGTGGCATTTTGGGACTGACCTCTTTTATGTACCATCCTATTTTCTAGATTTATCAGTACTGTGACATGTAACTTAATTCCTTTTTATTGCCAAATAATACTCCATTGTGTGGATTTATCACATCTTCTGGATCAGTTAGTTGACAAGTATCTGGGCTGTTTCTACTTTACGGTTGTTATGAACGGTGCTGCTATGTATAGTCATATGTAAGTTTCTGTGTGACACATTTTCATTTCTTTGTAGCAGATACCCAGAGGTGCAATTCCTGCCTGTCTTCCAAAGTGACTGCCCAGGCTTGGTATGGTGGTGCACACCTGTAATCCAGGTATTCAGGCGACTGAGCAGGAAGATCGCTGTAAATTCAAAGCCAGCCTAGGCTACATAGTGAATTCAGATCCAGCCTAAACTGCATAGTGAAACCCTATCTCAAAACACCAAACAGGGCTGGGTGTGGTAGCGCACGCCTGTAATCCCAGCATTTAGGAGGCTGAGGCAGGAGGATCACTGCGAATTTGAGACCAGCCTGGGCTACACAGTGAATTCCAGGTCAGTCTCAACTACATAGTGAGACCCTGTCTCAAAAAACAAAACAAAAAAACAAACGGGCTGGGGATTTAGCTCAGTGATTCTGCCGCCTGCCTTACAAACTCAAGGACCTGAGTTCCATCTCCGGTACCAAAAAAACAAAAACAGAAAACCAAACAAAACACATGCACGCGTGCGCACACAGCCAGTGACTACGCCATCTTACATTTCAATCTGCTGTGTATGAGGTTCTGATCTCCCCTTTCTCTTACTCTCTTTTTTTTTTTGGTACTGGGGATTGAACTTAGGTCCTTGCGCTTGAGAGGCAGTCGGCGGAACCACTGAGCTAAGTCCCCAGCCCCTTCCTTTACTCTTTATTTTATTTTTTGGTACCAGGGATCAAACTCAGGACCTTGGCTTGCCAGCTCGGTGCTATGCCACTGAGCTACATTTCCCCTTTACTCTTTAAAATGTAAGTGTTCAGGGGCTAGGGATTTAGCTCAGCGGTTCCGCCACCTGCCTTGCAAGCGCAAGGACTCGAGTTCAATCCCAGCACCAAAAAAAAAAAAAAAAAAAAAAAAAAAGAGAGAGAGAAGTAAAATATAAGTATTCTTAGCTGTGGATGTTGGCACATACTTATAAGCCCAGCATTCCAGAGGCTGAGGCAGGAGCATTATGCTTTAAATTCAAGGCCAGCCTAAACTACATAACAAGACCCTGCCTCCAAAAAATGAAAACAACACAACAGTAGCAACAAAATAAAGTAAAATGTACATATTTTTAAGAATATGTTGTGTTCTCTTTATTATTTTCCCCCCACTATTGGTATCCAACCAACCCAGGGGCATCTACCACTGAGCAATATCCCCAGCCCTTTTGTTATATTTTGAGTCAGGATCTTGCTAAGTCACTAAGTTGCCCAGGCTGGACTTGAATTTTCTTCCTGCCTCAGCCTCCCAGAGTGCTGGGATTACAGAAGTGCCCCACCACACCCGGTTTTTTCTCTTTTTCGGGTGGTACTGGGGATTGAACCCAGGCTATGACACATAACAGGCAGGTGCTTTCCCTCTGAGCTACGTTCCCCACCTTGTCTTGTTTTATCTCAGGATGTCATGCCTTATGTAACATCTGCTTCTCACACTCTCAGAGCTAAGATTCACCCACATTGCACCTCTGCGGAGCTTGTTCATTTCCCACTGCAGGAATATACAGAACTTTCCTGTCTGTGGGCACTTGGAGTTTTACCAGGTTTTCTCTTCTGAATGGTGCTGCTGTTCGTTAGCAGGCCCGGACGTGTTCCTGTGCCCTGCTCAGGAGGAGATGCCTGGGAAGCACGAGGCCTCGGCTGAGGCAGGGGAGACCTGACTTTGCCCCAGGGTACTTTTGCAGGGCAGTGTTCCTCCCCCTCTGTCCAGCATGACATTGTCAGGTGTCTTCATTTTTGCTTGCATTATTCTGTATCAGCACTCTGTGTTCTTCATAGGACTTACCACGCTGTGAGAGTTTCTTCTCCACTGCAATTTCAGCTCTAAGAGGGCACAGATTTTTGCCTATTTTCTAATCCTAGGATGGTGTGTAATACATAGTAGATGCTCAAACATTTATTGGATGAGTCAAAATTAGAACTTTAGAGCCAGGGAATTAGCTCAGTGGTTCCACCGCCTGCCTTGTGAGTGCAAGGACCTAAGTTCGATCCCCAGTATCCCCCCCGCCAAAAAAATTAGAGCTTTAACACGTATGCACTCAAATTCCCATGGGAGTCCGGTGAAGGATCTAAAATTTTGGAAAACAAAATCACAGAGTCCAACTTGTCACTACACAGTGGTTATTGGTGCAGTGCAGACTACCTGGCCCTTTCCGGTTGGTGCCCAGTGGTTTGAGAGTGAGGTTCTCAGAGGCAGCAGCTGAACGCCTGATGGTCTGTGCCACCATCTCTCTGTGTGGGCTCCCACCCAGCCTCCCGACGAGCTCTCTGCCCTCACCAAGGCTTCCTTCCACTCTACTCTGCACAGTCTCATTCTCCAGGCACAGACCTGTGTCTCTTCTCTTGTCAGAGCTCTTGAGTGGTTTCCCTATTGGCCTCAAGAGAAACGCCAGATGTTCACTTTGTCCACCAATCCAACTGTCTTGTGCAGGCTTCCACCCCGCTGGGCTCACAGTGGACTTCGGAAAGGGCCTCCTGGAGGTGTTATCGCCACCAGCATTTCTCCCTCTTCCCAGCACTCCCACTCTGCCTCCCCTTTCTTCAGGTGCTGGGGATCCAACCTAGGGCTTCTATCTGAACTACCACTCAGCCCTGTTCTCCTTAAAGATCTCCTAACTCCACCTTTCTTTTTTCAGGTGCTCTGCGCTTATTTGGCACTCAGGGCAGATGATTTTTTAAAACCCATCCCTTCTAAGTGACATTGTTTCCAGTAACAGTCATGATATACAATGAGTATTACTAATGATAAGTATTGGCCAGAAAAAATTACATACAGTGGCGATATATTTTGTTGACCTTTATATATGTAATCATGTCAATAAAGATAAACATTGCCGTATAAAAAAACAGAAAAGAACTGTACATGGTGTTGCATACCTGTCATCCCAGGTACTCCAGAATTTGAGGCAAGAGGATCACAAGTTTGAGAACAGCCTGGACATTTTAGCATGATCCCATCTCAAAATTAAAAAAAAAAGAAATCAGGGCTGGGGATTTAGCTCAGTGGTGTTGTGCCTACCTGGCAAATGCAAAGTCCTGAGTTCGATTCTCAATGCCGGAAAAGAAAAAAAAAATGAATAAGAAAATAAAAGGGGCTGGGAGCATAGCTTTGGACTTCCTGGGTTTGATCTCCATCTACAGTAGTACTGTAAAACAATACAAAATAAGATGAAAAGCCAGAAAACAGTGGTACATATGGAACCACATACCAGGCATGGTAGCATATACCTGTAATTCCAGCACTCTGGGAGGCTGAAACAGGAAGATTGAAAGTTCAAGCAATTTATCAATTCTGTGAGACCTTGTCTCAAAGAAGCTGGCCCTGGGGGAGTCTGGGGGATGTAGTTTAGTGCAAAGGCCCTGGGTTTAATCTCCACTGTTGTAAACAGCACCAACAAAAACAGAGTAATAGGTCAATACATTTCAATTACCTTATCGTTTTTTGGATAAACATTTAAGGAATATGCTCCAATAGTAGCTTGATGCAATAACAATTACATTATGGTTTAAAAACAAAACTTTTTTTTTAAAATATGGAATGCTTCATGCATTTGCGTGTCATCCTTGCACAGGGGCCATGCTAATCTTCTCTGTATAGTTCCAATTTTAGTTTATGTGCTGCCGAAGCAAGCACAAAAAAAAAACTTTAAGGGAACCAATTTCAATAAATAGGGTATTGGAATTTGGTAAAACATAACTTTACTAAATAGTAATAATATGCAATTTTATGAAATTACAAATCTTTTTTTTTCTTTTTTCTTTTTTATTGAGGATATTGGTACAATCTAGGTATACAAATACAGTTACATTCATCATTGGGATTCTGTACCTTTACATAATAGGTCTTGATTCTCATTTTTCCCCTTGTCCCTGCCCTCCCTTCACCCCCTCTTCCCCTCCCCATTTACAAACACTTTGTTTCCATTTTTTCAGTTTCTCATATTTTTTTCCTCTCCCTTATTACCTTTCCCCCACCCTTCCCACTTTCCTTACACCTTTAGCCCTTTACTTCCTATTTCACATTATTAATTGTCTCATTAGGATCCTGTGTACTATTATAGTTTTTCACACAAAAGAAACTATTCGGTATTTCAGTTAAAGAAATCTCTGTATGAACATTAAAAATAGGGAATCCTAAAATAAAATTAAAAAGGAAAGTAAAAGAGAAAAGGCAATGATATAACATCAAAATAATCCTTAATTCTGGAGATGAAAATGGTCCATGAACGTATTTAAATTGCTTCTCGCTCTTATAGTCTCATCTTATTCTTTCTTCGTTATTTAGAGAATACTTTATTAGTTTCTGTAATCAAACCCATGTAGATATGACCTTACATATTTAGTACGATGTGTTACCCCTGTACACATGGAAAAAAAAATAAATTAACATTTCTAGACCAATATGGTTGTCCATTT